AGGAATGTTTAAATAGGAGTGAAAAAAGGTAAAAATGGTTCTAACAACTACCACTTCAATGCATGTTGTAACATAAGAATAGAGACTTTCTCTATGTGAATAAAAAAAAGGATCATTTATCTTCTAAGAATGAGAATTCATCAGAACAGAAAATTTCTTTTAATATGTGAAATCCCTGAATAAAAATTAATCATTAAAAAGTTATGTACGTGATGAATCTATTAGCCTTCCCAGAGAGAAATGATATTCATTATTAAAATGAAAAAAAGTTTTAAATAGCAATATTTGATTTGTTTCAAGTTATTTTCCAATAGGAGTCATGTGCTATTTCAATCAACATGCACTTGTTCAGGAAATTATGATACACAATTCTGAGATGAGATGGCTGGCTGTAAGTAGAAGTCTGCATGTCAGACAGCATGTACAGACTAGAATATCCAGGGGTAGAACTGAACTCGAATAGCCTAGCAAGGAGTTAACCCACCATATTACATTTATGGAGCATCTACTATTCCCATAACCTCACTACTAATCATTGAGGACCTTTACAAACAAGGCTTATATATCAGTGTTTTATGACTCTTACATATAAGTAAGCATAAAAATGAACCAGAACTAACAGAACAACAGTTAATTTAGAAGTGAAGCCTTTTTTTTTATTTCACTGTGATTTTCTCAATGAAGTAATCATTTACATTTTAAAAATAAGTCATAATGGCAACTTACCATAGCTATAATTTTCAACATATAAGATATTAGAATTTAATATAACTGTTTAAGCTATAAGGATAACTCAAAGGTTTAAAATACTATAAAGATATGCTGAATATATAAAGTACAGAAAAGAAAAATGCATGAAGAATCAATTATGTTACTGGCTATTAAACAGAACATGTATTGTGGGTTTAACTGTGTTACCCAAAAAGATACGCTGAAGTCCTAACCCTAGGTACCTATGCACGTTAACGTAGGTCTTTGCAGATGTAATCAAGGTAAGATGAGGTGATACTGGATTAGCAAGGGCCCTAAATCCAGTGACTGGTACCTTAGTAAGAAGAGGGAGAGTTGGATACAGAGGCAGAGAGTGAAGAAGGCCAGGTGTAGAGAGAGGTAGAAACTGGATGCAGATACAAGTTTAAAAAAATACAAGGGACACTACTAATCACCAGAAGCTAGGAAGGCGTCAAGTTAGGGTTCTTCCCTAAAGTCTTCAGAGGGAGAACGGCCCTGCCAACTACCTTGCTTCTGGGCTTCTAGCCTCTAGTACCGAGAGAATGACTTTCTACTGTAGAAGTCAGCCAGGTAGTAGTACACTGCATGGCAGATCTAGGAAACTAATGTAACAAATATGATGACATAACATTAAAGTCAATTAAAACCAACTCAATATCCTATGATATCATCAAAGGTCAAAAGGTAAAATAATATAAGTTCTTGGAGAAAGTATAGAAGAAATCAATAAAAGTATTAGAAGAAAATGTCTAAGACAAATATAAATGAGATGTTTCTCAAAATAAGGAGACAGCTTGCAAATCAACAAGAACATGCCTATTGTTATTTTTCTCCTTAAAAGGATGAAAGAATTTTATTTAACTTCAAAAATGACAGTTTCAACATTTATTGTGAAAACTCCTTTTGGTAAGAAAACGTAAAAATGAATTTAAAAGTAAGTATCCTTAAGGTGAATAGATAAGGCAACTAAATCAAACAAAACACATTGCCCTTATTTATATATAGTCTCCTTTGACATTCAGCAAAAAATCAAAATAATGACTCTCAGGAAAATCATGTCAAAATATAGGAGGCTAAAAAAACCAAATTTGTTCTGAATACTGTCTAGCTGCCTTTAGGAAATAAACTTTTTACTTAAAACAAAGTGCTTTATTACTTACAACTAAGTGCTAATAGTAAAGAAAAGGTTTTTGTGTTTTGTTTTGTTTTTTTTGAAGTATGACCTGAATTTTAAGTCCCATCGAAGAATAGGGTTTTTAAAAATTCAACTACACTAGAGGATAGGTGAGGTTTATCATCTACTAATTTGTAAAATTTGGGTTAAAGAGTCCCTAAGTTTAAGTTCTATGTTCAAAATTATTTTTTCCAAAAACAAAACACATTGCACATCTATAATAATGTCAGTATCAATTTCAATGTGCAGGATTTGTATGTTTCTGAGCTTCTCAGACAGGGCTGCACATCTATTTGCACCAAAGCTTAAGAATTCATTGTAAAGATAAAGGAAACAGGCACAGAAGTCTGACACAGTAAGAAAGCGTATCTTTAGTGAGGATGCACAGGTAGGAGTATGCCTATCGGATGCTCCTGGACCCATTTATGAACTGCTGTCTAGATCCTACAGAAAACAGAGCGAGTGAAAAGGAAAAGTGCTACTTCACCAGAAACTACCATAAACAGCTACACTATTTGGTAAGTCTATAAAAAGGTATAAAAGATTAAACACAAAGATGTGCATTTTGACAGTGCTGATTACCAAAATGGCAAGTTTTTCTTTTAAATTTCATCAAAAAGAAAACAGCCCTGGTCGTTATCAGTTAGCTGCTGTTGTACAACAAACTACCCCAAAACTTAGCAACATAAAACAAACAACAAAATTTACTACGTCAAATAGTTTCTGAGAAACAGGACACCCCAAGCAGCTTAGCTGGGTGCTTCTGGCTTACTGTGTCAAGGCTCAGAGGTCACAGCTAAGCTGAGCTGGAGGACCTGTTTCAAAGCTCACTCAACATGGCTCTTGGCATGAGGATTCAATTCCCCACCATTTGGGGTTATGACAATACAGCTGGCTTCTCCCGAACCAAAGTGACTGGAAAGAGAATGATGAAGATGGAGGCTGTGCTGTCTTTTATAACCGAATTTCAGAAGCCACACACCTTCTGCAGTATTCTTCCCAACATGCAGACTGGCACAATGGGGGAGGAAGGGAAACTAAACAAGTGTGGGAATATCGGAAACCAGAGATCACTGGGAGCCACCTGGGATGACGGCCAGAATAAGCATTTTAACTTCATTTGGATCCAGGAGATATTACACTTAGTAAAGTGTATATCTTATAAGAAAGATAACTGCTATCATAATGCTATTTATTTATTAAGTTGCAGTTCACTTTTTTAGTCCTCTGATGAAAAGAAGTAAAAGCATTTCATTCAATATGAGTTAACTAAAATTAACTTTTAAAATTTAGCAAGATTTCAAAGTTAGCACTTTTACGTTAACTTATAAAACTATGAAAACTTAGAATGTATAAGGCTAATTTTATTCTGTCCTAAAGCCTAAATTCTTCACCTCATATTTAGAGTTTAAAAAAAAAAAGCATTTAAAGAATGTGGTTATTTTATTTCAAATACAAAATTATTTATCGCAAATGATTCTTACGTTATGTATTTAAAAGGGAAAATACATTTCTCCCAAAGAACTCATAAAATGGCTTATGAAATCTTTTCTGATTACCTTGCTACATATTGATAGTTTTTTAACATGCAAATATGTGCATATATAATTGGAAACAAACTATTTTTAAAATACACAGCATGAATAGGAAAAATATCATTTGTAAAGACTCAGAACTTAATTATGCAATGAAAAAATAACTTCCATTAATAAATAACTGCTAAAATTTATCAAAAACTAAATATATAAGATATTAAATATATTTATGTAAAATATATCAAAACTAATTTAAAATATTCTGACTATAAAATTATCACA